AAAAGAAAGAAAGAATGGAGCACGTGGGATGACCACCAAACCAAACTGAGGACTTTAATGTCAGAAAGCATGTAGGAAGAAAAGAATGATAACCGCAAAAGAATGTCAGAGTCATTCTAACTTTCATCCCACCTCATTTGTCGAAGTGAAAGAAGAGATTTGAGAAATGGCAAGAGCCCTGCTCAGCATTTGGAACCTGCACTACAACTCAGATTTCTAGGTCACAGGTGACCATCACTTGGGGCAGGAGGGATCCCAAGGCAAGTGCTGACATAACTAACATGTAAAGAATACTTCTCACACACTGTCATAAATATTCAGGAGCCCTGGTGGAATAGTGGGTTACACATTGGGCTGCCAACTAACCATTAGGTCAACAGATCGAAACTACCAGCCATGCTAAAGGAGAAAGATGAAGTTTTCTGCTCCCACAAAGAGTTATGGCCTCAGAAACCCTCACGGACAATTTTATCTTGTCCTACAGGGTCAGTATGATTGGTATCAAGGCAATGACAAGGAGTGTGCGTTTTTGTGAGTGGGAGGCAGGAAGTATGCGTTGTGTCTAATGTACTCAGTCATCACAGCCACCATCAGACACACACTACTGATGTTGTTGCTGTTTGGATGCAGGAGCTGAAAGTGTCTAAGGAGCTCCTTCTCTGTCATCCCGCAGACTCTAAGTGGTAGGACTGCGGAAATGCATTAGTACATAGGCACACTGTGCTTCTGAGACGCCTGGATTCAGGTGTCCACTAGCTTTTGGTTGTGTCCAGATCTATAGGTGAGGAGGCTGGGAATGAGTTAGGGAAATGCTAGCTATTCTAACAGACAATTGCAAAACTCCAGTTCCTCACCTGACAGTTAATTTCTGGTTCAACAAGGCCTGCTGTGGTTCATTAAGAGTGCTAACACTTTGTTCTAACATTTCAGCAGTATGAGATGCTCACCTGCCTGGCACGATCACTGAAGACAATGGGTGCACAAGAAAATGTGGTGAAGAAAGCGGATGATGCTCA